GGATTGAATTTAAGCAGTAGCAGTGACAGTGTTGAGACTTAATCCCTAGACCACCAAGGAGGCCTCTGGGGGATCCTAGGGGGTTTGGGGGAATCCCACACTGTTTTCCTTGTGGCTGCACCACCCCCCACATTCTCATCTACAGTGCATGAGGGCCCCCCTTCTCTACATCCACACTAACAGGGCAGTTTTCTGTTTCCTTGATAATAGCTGCCCCATTGAGCACAAGGTGACATCCACATTGGCCCTACCAGCACCTCCCTGACTTTCCCTCACTTTCTCCCTGACTCAGTGGTCAAAAGTCATCTTGGAAGAAATGTCCACTCAAGCCCCCAACTCTTACTCCACTTGCACTATCTGATTTTGTGCTGTTGAGTTGTAAGCACTCTGTGTACATTCCAGATGCCAAACTTTATTAGCTATACCACTGCAAATACTGCCTCTCTGAGGAAGTCCACCCCCCATTCTGTTGGTTGTTTCACTCAATGCACAAGCATACCAACTTGATACATCGTTTGTCTTTTATCTTGTGCTTTTTGGTGTCATCTCCAAGTCATTGCCAAATTCAGTACCATATAGCTTTCCTTCTATGGTTTCTTCTTACGGGAATTTTATAGTTTTGGTCTTATTCCAGCTTGAGTTAATTTTTACATATGGCATTAGAGTCTAAATGCTTTCCCATATTGATATCCAGTTTCCCCCACACTACTTGTTGTAGAAATGTTTCCTCTTTCAGTAGTTTGGCATCCAAGTTGAAGATCATTTACTATTCATATATGTATGAGAGCTTATTTTGAGTTCTCTGTTCTATTCATTACTCTATTTGAATGTTTGTTTTTATGCCACACCACACTGTCTTAATGACTTTGTAATAATGCATGTGTAGATCTTGTTGATATTATAGATACAGGGCCCCTCTATTGAACAGTAATGTTTTGCTTTCTTATCATCAATGCATGAGAGTTCCTGTTTCCCCCAGAGCCTTGCCAACAGAGTATATTGTTAAACTTAGTTTCCTTATAGTTTGATAGAATGCAATCTTGAGATTTATAAAGTACTTTAAAAATTAAGGAACTTGGCCCTCCCTGGTGGTGCAGCAGGTTAAAGCACAGCACTGAGAATCTAAAGCCACTTCTGCATGAGTTCGATTCCCACCTGCCCTGGAGGTGACCACATGGCGTGGCAG